CCAGGTTCCCACTGTCCACTGTGTCCTGTGGGGGTTCCCCAGGCATCCTCAGCACTTGGCCTCCCCTCAGCATTGACTTGTTGGATTTGGCTTTGGATTTGCCTTTGCGTCAGTGGTGGTGAAAGCCCTGCCTCCAGGCAAAGAGATGCCTACAAAAGGGCTGCACCTGAGTTAATGGCTGCTCCCCTGGAGTCCTGCTTTTTGGACCGTTTTTGCCTGTTGCTAGTTGCTTTATGTGCTCATTAAAAGTAGTGGGAATTCATGGGTAAAAGGGAAGATAGAAAATGTAACTCAGAGTAAGCTCTAATAGATTTCTAGATGAAAACCTTCTTGACATATTTCTGTATTCAAGATTTATAATCTAATCATTTCTTCACTTGCACAGCAGGGACTGAAATGTAGTTATTTACATACAGGGAACATTAACCAGCCTCCTTTTTAAACCATATGTGAACATAAAATCCAACAACCACTGCTGAGTAATGGGTATCCGTGAAAGATGAGAATAAAAATAAAGCAGAAACAAACATAATGAAAAGGTATTATTGCAAGAAGTAGCTGTGACAGCAGCATATTATATCCCTATACTGAAGTGAAAAAGTGACCCTGTAAATCTGTATCCTCTTCCCTCTTGAGTTAGCACTATACACACTGAACATGTGCAGATGAACCCATTTGTATTCCTCTCTAGTTTTAGTGAGTTCGTGGGGGCTTTGTGATGCCTTACTGCTTTGCCACGAGGATCTAGAGGTTGGCACGCCATGTTGGTCCAGGCTTCTTTGGACTAGTCATTGCTCCTTTGGGGCAGTTGTGATCCCTCAGAAACCTTTAATTTCCCGACAGCTAACTTTGGGGCTGGCTTGATTGCTCTGTGTGCTAACCTTCCAGCCAGTGTAATGCCTGCCTGTTGTCCGAGATGCAGTGTCAGGTAGCTGGCTCCTGAAATGGCTATGGTCATGGTCCTGCAGGGATTAGGATTAATTTGTCCAGGTGCTGAGACACATTCCTGTGACTGTATTGCCCGGACCGTGTTGGCAAGAGCACCTTGGCATTGCCATAGTTACTGTGGATACTCAGGAACTGCTGTGGCTATTGCCAGGCTGCTGCAGTGTAAGGGTATGTGCTTTGGATGTTTAATTTTGAGATTGGCAAAGGGACTAGGGACTGTTGGTGGCTTTTCCTTCCTCTTTTGGATAAAAATGTATGGATGGGCATCTTTGGAGAAATCACTGCTCTTTCTGTATCATATGAAGCAAACACATGTAGAGGCTTTCCCTAAAATACTGGGTTTATGCATTCTCTACATTCGTTGCTTAGTTTCTTGAAAAATGCAGTTTACGTTCCTGTCTTTTAACATTTCTAATACTAATTACAAATGGGAACTTGAAGATCATGGAATTACAGAATTGTTTGGGTTGGAAGGGACCTTAAAGGTCACCCAGTTCTACCCCACGTGCCATGGACACCTTACACTAGACCAGGTTGCCCTGGTTTTGAGCACTTTCAGGGCTGGGGCAATCACAGCTTCTCTGGGCAAACTGTTCCAGTGTCTCCCCATCTGCATAGTGAAGAATTTTTTCCTAATATCTAAATCTCCCTTCTGTTGGTTTAATGCCGTTGCCTCTTGCCACTACATGCTCTTGTCAAAAATTCCCTCTCCAGCTTTCTTGTAGGCCCCCTTTCAGTACTGGAAGGCTGCTGTCAGGTCTTCCCTGAGCCTTCTCCAGGCTGAACAAGCCCAACTCTCTCAGCCTTTTTCCAGAGAAGAGGTGCTGCAGCCCTCAAATAAGGAATATGGTTCCCTAATTAAGGGTAAGCATCCCCAAATGGGTGCAACTGCATCCTGAAGAAGTCATGCTTATCCCATAGGCATGTTTTGATGATAGGTCTAGATACTGGCTTTAAACATGCAGGTTACATACAGAGAACTGTTAGTTGTGAGAAATAAATTCCCTTCTGATAAATGCACATCTGTCTTCTCATTGCTGGAGTCCTCTGGTGATGGTGAGCCTGAGGAGAGTAACTTTTGTTGGTTTTTAGGATGAAAGGAGAAGCTAATTTCTGTGATACAGGGGGATAAGACAGTGAGTTTCTGTCACAGAACCAAACCACTGTATCGTACTACCAAAACACTGTTTCTACTGCGTTTTAACAAAATACTGTACTTTGCATTTCTCTTATCTTTTAACGCTCTGCATTCCTGTGCCCTGAAGAGAGAGTGATGAGAAATGTGGATGGCGGTAGGCTTAGGAAATGTTTTGTTCTTAAATCCCCCCTATTTTTCAGTGGGATTTCAGAAATCTCTACTGTATTTTAATTTGGTTTGTCAAAGTATAATTACCATGAATGAGGTAAGAAACTAATTTAAACACAGCAAGTGTAGTGGAGAATCCAATTTTCAGAAATCAGTGGCAATGTAATTGGAGTCATTAAGTGCTGACTTCGGTAATTAAGAGACGTTTTTTGATGTTTCAGGTTTGTGTTGCTAGTCATCTGTGGAGAGGGTAGAAAAACATTTTCCTCTCTGTGAAACTAGTCACTTCCCTATACCCATGTAACTGAAGGCATGAGCACTGCCCAGTGGCTTGGGTGAACCTGCAGCATTTGAGATGTGCTTGCTTGGGTCCCAAGCTCCTTGTTCCTCCCTGCTCACAGTGGGGGACATATGGGAGCACGTTTTGGAGCCATCCTGTGTGTGAGGCTGGCACTGCCTCTGCTGGGCAACCTCTTATGCTGGGGCATGGAGGAGCCCCTGGGGTTGTACCCCATGCCAGGGCACCGTCAGGGGGGAAAAATCTGGTTGTAGCTGAGCAGGCATGGGATTCAGTGGCTCCATGTCTGGTCTTGGCCAGGGAGCGCAGTTTGATCCCCCCTGGCTCTTCTCTGGTCCAGAGGAGCTGCTTGGCGTAGGAGCTGGACCAGTGCAGGAGCCGCTCTGTCTCAAAACAGAACGTGCTCGTGCTCAGCCAAGGTTTTGGTAGCACGATGAACAGCTACCAAGAGGCATTGCTTCATTGATGGATGATGCCGTGCACTGTTGTGTCACAGAATGCAGAGCAAAAGCAAGTCCTTTATGATAATGTTCAGGAGGAGGATTTTTCTAAGCCAGAGATGGATGCCTGGCTCCTTGACCTATCATCCTTTCAGACTTTGATCTTGGATTGCAGGTCCATCTTGATAAAATAACTGGACGTCTCTGCAGACTTAAAAGTGCTGTTAAAATTATTCATAAAAGAAATCAGTGGTGCAAGTGTATTCTCATCACTTCTTGTTTGCAAAATTATCTGTAAGAAGTCAGGATGTTATGCATTTTTAACTCCTGCAGTTCAACCTAAATGCTCAGCACGCTTTTGTTGTGATAATGGAGAAACCATAAAAAACCCCTGACATGCTGATAGTTATCATCATATAAACCAAGCCTTATGTTTACTTTCCTATTAAAAATGCTAATTTTCTGGAGCAATGGCATTCACAAGGGGGTTTTTCTTTCATTTTGTTGTTTTCCAGCCCCTCAGATATTGCTGTTACTCGGGCCTCCAGCGTGGAAGCTGATGTGATAGTTTTCGTGCTTTTGAGCTTTCACACCCACAAACAAATCCATCGGCAGCTGAGATCTCTTGCTCTGTGTTTGAGTTTGTAATTATCTTCTGGCCCAGCAGAAGCCAGAGCTCGGCCAGGAAGTGTCTTAAAATGTCTTTTCTAAACCTTAGCTGTGCTGGTTTGTGAGGGGTGTGGAAACCACCAGCAGTTTCAACATTTGTTTTAATCAGAAATCCCCTTTCTGCAGTCACAGTGTTTTTCACAGTGCCTTGCAAACTTGCGTTGCCCTTACCTTCCCAGGGGTTCTGACCTTTAACGCTGAATGGGCAGTTCCTCATGCACTTGTTCATGTTTGTGCTTGATGTGGGGCATCCTCTGAAGAGCAGGAGCCACTCTTTGCAGCTGGGCACCTGATAAGGTTGAGCAGCTGGGGATGGGCACCCTGAGGGAGTGCTCAGGGGAGCAGCCTCTGCCACCCAGCCACGTTCAGAGGAAATACTTGTGGTGTCCATCCCCTGTCCCTTTGCAGCTGTGTGGTTTTCTGGATGGCACACTCAGAATACCTGGCAATGGCTGTACGTGGTGTGACAAAAGTCAGAGAAGCATGTTAAATAGCTAGAACAGGTTGGAGAAATCATGCTGAGCTTTACTGACCAAACTGACTAGAAAGGGCCGTCTCTTTGCTGCTCTTGTGTTTGGTGATGGGGGGTTCCAGGCTGGGGTGTGAGCTGGGCTTTCTGTAGCTTGCTGTCCCTGTCTTGCAGGCACTGGGCACCCAACTAAGCTCCTGCTTGCAGCTGCAGATTAGGGGAGTAATGAGGATACACTTTGCTTTAGGCATAACTTCTTTCCTGTTGCTTTTCCGTTCCCTGTTTCCTTTTGTTTTATTTCTTCAGACAGCCTGTGTTACTGCCTAATTGGATTACTAGGTCACCTTCCGATTGACTATGGGCTGTACGGGACAGGGATCAGTCCCTGAGGCTTAGCAGTTTGGGGAGCTAATGTAGGCTGGCAGTCAGCAAAGCCACTACAGTCTCATGGAGCCTCAGTGGAAAATGGCATTTCCTGCCTAACTCCCCAGTGGCCACACAAAGGATCAGATCCATTGCTTTGTTTCACCTGGCTTCTTAGTTTTAGGGAGGAAAAATGAAAAAAGTCTTTGCTTTCAGGTGTGCCGTGTGGTTCATAGCCCTCAAGGAGGCCTGGCCGCCTTCTGGGAAACAAACACATCTAAACGTAAAAACCTTGGACGTGGTTCAGGTGTCTGCATATTAGAGATGAATAGCTCTTACTTAAAAAGTGTGCTCTGTATCTTAAACAAAATACCTCTTTGCCGTTTCCATGGCAAGCTCTCCTTCATAATTGAATAACAGTCATAAATGGTTACATAAAACACAAGCAAAACGCGGCACCGTAGCTGAAGGCTGCACTTGTCAGCTCTGTGTTTGCTCTTTGCGCAGGGGAGTGTGCTGGTACCTGAAGGTGAGGCTTGACCCAGGGCGCAGCCGTTTGGTGCATCAGCCCTGCACCCTGATTGCTGGAGCCCAGTTCCCCAGAGAGGCTTCTTGCGGTTGTCCCAGAGCATCCTCACAGCTCGTCTCCAGACCCTTGTGCTAAGGAGAAGCCAACTGGAGGAAACGTGAAGGCCAAAATCTCTTAATGGGACTACACAGATTAAAACACAGACCTTCTCTTTCGAGGTACCTCTCTGCAGATGGTACTGTCCAACTTGGTCTTTCTGGAGCTGCTATATTCACCTAGAAGCTGTTAGACCTTTGAAAAACAAGAGATCTTGCCAAGGTGAGTACACGTGTCTGCCCATGTTTTTAGAACTTCCTTTTATTTAATTCTGTGACTGAAGTGTTTTCAAGAAAGAAAAGAATAAAGCTTTGCTATTTCTGGGACAAGAGCTTCTGTGCTGTTCTACCTCTTAGGATTTTACAGTCAAGTGTGTGGGTGTCTGGTGTGTCCCCATCCTGTGTCCCCCCCATTTCTGTGCCTCTTTAATTATGAGGGTTTGAGTCTCACCTGCTTAAAATTTGTCACATGGACCCAGCAGCTGTTAAAAAACAAAACCCACAGCAAAAAAAACCAACCAAACAACCATCACAAAAAACCTCAACCTTGGGAAACCCCAGGTGTGAGGTACACCACAAGGTCTTGATGAGAAGCTTGGCAAAGCTGTATTCCCACTGGTGGAGGTCCTTGCAAGGAAGGGGGTGTCTCCTCCCAGGTAAGAGGATGCCCATCTCTTGCACCTGGTACATGCATCACTGACCTGTGCCGAGGGCTGGTCTGCCTGCACCCTACTCTCCTGCCTGGTGTGGGTCCCTGTCAGTGAGAAACCCCAACATTGCCAGTGGGTTTCCCAGCTAGAGGCAGAGGTCCCAGGGGTATGGCTGGGTGGATAGGGCAGAGCTGCCAGGCTTAGCTGTGTGCATGGCATGCAACCAGCCATGTGTGCAGTGCCCTTGCTGCCCTGACCTTGCTTGTCACTGCATGGGATGCTGACCCCCCAGATCTTCACCTTTGGGCCCTGAGATGGGTGTAGATGCAGTGTTCTAGGTTTATTGCTTACAGAAGCACTGCACATGCAGGTGAGTGACGCCAAAGTATTCCCTGTGTCCACACACCTTTCGTGTCGGATTGGTAACACGTCCAGGGGCATTATGTCACTTGGAAAGACTGCATGTGACAGAGTACTTGTGGCTGTTGTTTTGCTGCTTCTCTCTCCCCATAGCACCATTGATTTGCAGGCAGTGGCTGCTTCTCCAGCCCTGTGCTGTTGGCGCTTCCCGATTGCTGCACATATGGTGTGTGAAACTACGCGGCGCTTGTCGGCCCGCGTGGCACTGGCAGCAGCAGTGCCAGCTAGCAGCAGAGTGGCAGACTGAACTCTGCATCTTCCCCTCTCCTCCGGAGGGAGGGGGTGAGAGTTTTTGTTCTTTTGTTCGTCTGAGTTCATCAGGTTGGAAATAAACCCACTGCCTGTGTGTGGGGCGGGGAGAGGAAGGGATACAGGGAGGTGACAACAAAGCTGTCATCTTGCTTTGCTCCATCCAGGGAGCAAGACACATTGGGGTTTCCTAATTCCTGCTTCAGCAGGGGGTGCAAATTGCCCCCATGCTGACAAATTGGACCTGAGCATCTTGACGGAAAGCCTGTGACGCTGACGTCTCCATGCAGCGTGTCTCTGTTGGGTTGCTGGTGAGTTGGCCCTCTGATGGAGGTTTTGGGATTCTCCCATGGCTGTCGCTAGTCCCTGTACCCATTTAGGTGTGTATGCTTGTTCCCACTCCTGCACTCTGTTAAGGTGAAGGTGGCTCTTGACGGTCTCCACTTCTTAAGGTGGTTGGTCCATACATGTGGCACCAGGGGCTCGTTGGAGAGGGAAGTGTGAAGCAAGAGGTTTGCAGCCTTGAAGTTGCTGTGTAATCATCACCCCTCCTTTTTGTGGGGGAAGAAGAGGAGGGAGGTGGGGAAGAAGGATGGATGGTTTTAGCCTCCATCCATCTTATGGCCAATTGTGGTCCTTCTGCAGTGCTGCATGTCCCTGGGGCACCAACATCCCCCATGACAGAAGGCAGCCCTGGGGCTGTCTGGGGGCTCTGGAGGATGTCACCGTGTTAGCTCTTAGCTGTGGCATTTTCTGTGCAGCTTCAAAGCATGGAGGCCTTGTTTGTTTCTGATGAAAGCTGAAGCCTTGCTGAAAAGGGATCATCCTCTGAGGATGCTCCTGGCTCTGGACATGTCTGAGAGGGACTGCTTCCTCCACCTGCCACCCCTCACCCTTTTCTAATTTTCCCTTGGGTTTCTGCTAACTGTGGAGCCACTAATGTAAAATGAAGGCATGGAAATTTCATATTGTAGCAATTAATCAGCCCTCCCTAATTCTTTCCAGCTGTAAATTGCCAGCGCTAGCAGATGCATGCTGTTGCAGCCGAGCAGCTGATCCTGCCAGGGGCCTATGGTGGGCTATGTTTGGTTGGTTACGTGTCCTAGAAAGCCGTAGTGCACCCCTACGCAAGTGTAGTGCTCTGATTAGTTTAACAGAAAGTTTCCAGTTATTAGTGAAACATGTTTCTAGTAATTTCTTTTCCCTCCTGTGCTTAAGTGAAACTAAAATAGAAAAGGTGCTCCATTGTCACGGGACAGCCAGTGCGAGCTTTGGCTTGGTCTCTGCAGCGCATGAGAGCTGGTCAGTAAATCCCTGTTTGATTTTGGTTAGGCGTAGGGTTATTTTTGCTGTGGGCCGTACACACAGATCTCCTTGTCAAGGATTTAGGGAAAAAGAAAAAGACCTGAGGAATTTTCCCTTTAACAATGTCTTGTAGCACAGAAGTGGGATTTCTTGCCCTCTGGCATCCCCAAGTCAGAGACCTCCAAGCAGCAGAGGTCAGGATTTGAGGAGGGAGGGGGGGGCACTGGTTCAGGCTGCACCCGCTGATGTGACTTGTCGAGTGTAATCTGTACAAAGCGGTGCTGTTCCCATCTGCCCTGTGCCTGCTGGATGTAGCTGGCTGGCGCGTTTTGATTAAAACGTCGCAGGGAAGGGAAAATGAGGAAGCAACTAAGCGCATTTCCTATCTTAGGTTTTTAGGAGACACTTAAGGGAGTACACTTGGATGAGTAAGGGCAGAGGCAAATTGCAAAAAGCACTTACTAAACTTGTCTGGGGATTTCAGCCCTGTAGTTTGGAGCATGAAAGCTGGGCTTTCCTTTAAGAAACAGCAATAAAAGCTGACAAGCCTAAAGACCCAGATTAATTTAGAAAGCCTGTAGCTGGGGGAGGAGGGGTGGAAACAGAAGTGCAGCGACTCAGACTGACCTTTCCGTCAACTCCACCGCTCTTCCAAAACGCCATGTGGCATCCAAGCTGGGGTAGAACTGCGAGGTCCCCCACGTGGCACGGGGCAGGCTGTACCTCAGGCACAGGGTCTCTCACATGCTCCCTGAATGGCACTGGGCCTCCATGTGCTGGCATGGGCTGAGGCTGTCTGTCAGCCTGGCCGATCGGCATGGTATGGCGCTGCTGGAGTAGCGGTGCCAGAATCTGTCCTCAAAGTGCTGATGGAGGCACAGCAGCTATTTTGCAATGCGTAGCAGCTCTTTTGTGCAACTCGGAGGAGTTGGCTCGCAGTTATACGCGCTGTCTGACGCGGAGCGGTGGCTGTTAGAAAGGATTTAATTATCCTGATGACCCAAAGTAACGAAAGGAACAGGCCTGTTCATGTCGAGCCGTGGTGCTGACCGTGGTTACTTCGCTTCCCTCTTCCCTTCTCCTCCCTCGTCTCCAGTGTAAAGCTGCAAAGTGAAAGATGATGCCAGTATTCCCCTTTCCCAGGCTGCTATATACAATTGTTTCTATGATCTTTGTTTATATAGATCTAGGGCAGATTAAAGTGTCTTTCAAAATCGGAATACTTGTCAGGAGGCTGGGTAAGCCTGTGTCTGTATCTCTTCAGAAATGTTTCAGGTACCTCCTGGTACCTTCCATCCTCCTTCCCTAACCTTGTGTTTGTGCAGCTATGCATTTTCTGTTCTCCCCACAAGCTCCCAGTCCTCTAGGGAAATTTTAACCATTTATACAGTCTAGTAAAGCTCCAGGCATGTTCTGTCCCAGTATTTATTAACCCATTTCCTTCAGCGGGAAGCAGAGAAGAGAAGCCAGCTGATCTGTCTGTGGGGCCCCTTGGAGGCAGACGAGGACCTTAATGCAGGTGAATGCTTTTAACCATAGCAAAGGTGGGCCCTTTCCGTAACCTGCTGCCTGCCCGTAAGCTGCTGGCCTGCCTGGAATGACAGTGACTGAAGGAACGCTAGAGGTCTGGGGAGATGTAGTGGGGCTGCCCAGAAGGAAATGATGCTGTGAGAAATAAAAGCTGGGTCTTCACATTCCATGTCTGATCTTTGTCAATAGGATGGGTCTCCTGACTATGATGGATTTCACTTGGATTAGAGATTATCTTCCCCTTTAGTCTTTTCTGTACGGGTTGGTCCTTGTGTGATCAAACTTTTTCCTGAAGTTGTTAAAAAAAAGCTCTACATTGTGATACATGTATAGGTTCATATACAAATATCACATGTGCATATATATTGTAATTTATAATGGTATCTTATCAGTTTAAGAGGCTATGGGATTACTGTTGCTCCAGTGTTTTTACCTATGTAGAATGGGACTATTTACTGAGAAATTCGTTGAAGTCTTATGCTTTTCAGTTGATAATTTAAGTAAAAAAAGCTTTCTTTAGGAGCATGTCAGGGAAATCCTGTTCTGAAAAGCTTTTTGGTTTCTTAGCATGTGCACATGTGTTTTTCTCGTTACGATCTTAGGTTTCAATGGTATTTAAGCCCCATTTTTCAAAATCGAGTTATCTGGAAGCATTAGACTCTTTAACAGTACCTAAAGTGAGCCACACTGTTCATTAAACTGCTGCATGTGTGTACCCACATGCACAGTACGGTCCTTACAGGGCCTGAGCAGGATTTTTGGATCGCTGCAGAAGCTTGGGAGTGCCTTATTCTTGCTTGTGCTTTGCCTCCAAGTGGTGCAGGTGCCTCGGCTGGAGCTCACACAGCAGAGCACACTGTGGATATGGAGAATTGCCAGGTATTTGTGACTGGCTAGGGAAATATTAAGCAGTCCCATTTGAAGAGGTTTTTGGAAGGCAGCTGGAAGAGAGTACAAAACCTTGTGTTTGGTGTTATGGTTGATAAGGGTTTAAAGGCAGCTGCAGTTTAAACTCTGAATAGTTCAGCGAGGTCCTTATCTTTACTTGGCCAAATGCTCCATCGAGTAA